TTATTATTATTATTATTATTATTATTATTATTATTATTATTATTATTTTAAAAGAGAGCCTTCTTGTTCCTTATTTCATGATGAAAATAAATATAAAAATAAACATAAAACATTTTCCATGTCAATATTTCAGCATTTGGTTGTGGTTTGTTCATTTTAACAATGTTATTATTTTCCTTATTTCAAAGAAATCAAGGCAGATTACATGGAAGAAAGATAAAATCATAATAAAATAAAAAATGTAAAATAATATCACAGTAGCTGTTGAGGTATTCCCCGTTAGAAGAATGAGTGCACTCAGGGAAATGTAGTGAGGGTGATGTTGAATAACACACGACCAGCATACAGATACACTGAATAGTAAAATGTAGGTTTTACTTCCAGTAAATGGATAAACAAAGTCCAACAAACAGTCCAATTCATACACGGTCAAAGCAGTTAGTATCAGTCCAGGGATAATCCAAAAACGGTCAAGTATCATAAACGGGGTTCAGTAAACGGAGTTTGCTAACAATTGCAAGACTCACAGCAATCCAAACAGAACGATGATCAGACAATACAGCAAAACAGGAAATGCAAGAAGAAAGAAACCAGGTTTCTGGCTCCATCTTATGGCCGTTGGAGGAACCTCAGCCAATCACAATTACAGCATTCTCTTAAAGATACAGTATTAAATGACTATCCTGGTTTATATATTTCCAACCCAACTGTTAGGTGACTTCCATTTCTAACAGTAGCAATTGTAGACCAGGCCCACCATCCATTCAAGTATCTATCAGAACAGAATGTTTTGAGTAATGTGAGTGAGAAGATGGCTTCGTATAACTCAAAGGACAAGGTATTTCATAATGTGATCATGACCATTTACCTTACATTGAGCAGTCCCTTTGATTTCAGCTGATTGTGGTGAAGAGAGGCAATCCAGCAAGTATGTGGTTCTAAACCATGTAGGGAGTGAAATTTAAAATCAATATGTTGATTGGAGTCTGGAAGTAAATAGTTTGAATTATTGCCATTTCTTTTTCTAAGTACTTCTGTACTTGTTTGATACATGACTTTTGAATATTCTTAAGTTCAGTATCATTGTCTCCAGGGAAAAATATTCTCTCAGCATCTTTTTGATCTTATGGCATTATTCTTAGCTAATACGTCTCTTGCTTGGCCTGTACCAGCATCAGCTCTGTAATGAGATTTTTCACAGGAAAGTGATCAGAATTAGTACACACCAGTAGACAGCAACCCATGAATTGGTTATGGAATGGCATTTTTCTTACTAATTCCATGTGTCATCAGAGATGACTTTCAAATGAGTAGAAGTGTTCAGTGTAACTACCAATCTGAGGCCAGATTGGTCTCAGATTGGCATATGGGTAGAAGGTTTGTTTTTTTTACATTTTAGTCATTACTGAGAGGCAATATAATGTAGACTAACAGTAATAATAATAATACAGACTAATTTACACAATTGACCAACAAAGAAAACAAAAAATAGCGAATAAAATCACATTTCACCCTACACCTGGAAATAGGTTTAATGGCGTGAAACATTTCACACTATATAGCTCCAATAGCTAGAGATCAGGGACAATCAAAGTATGGTAGTTGTTCTGAGTCAAAACTCCAGAGTTACTTTCAAATAGATTGGTGAGTTACTTGGAAATGATTTGTGTCTTACTCAGTGCTGGGGAAACCAACAGCATATGTCTTTGCTCTTAAGTATAATCAAAACTGTCAATTAGAATTAATATGTAGGAATAATTATGTCTATGTCTCTAGGAAGCTTCCTTTCATAGGAATAGACAGGGGTTTTTTTTGTTTTGTTTTTTGTAAAATGGCATTTTTTACTACAAGATAGTTTAGGAGCTGGGATATTTACTGGTAATATTTCCTTCCTGCTGTTTAGTATTATAGTACTGTTTGACTTGTGGTATTGCTAACTTGTTCTGAGGTCAACTGAAGTGAATATGACTACATGGCCAACATCAAAACATTTTGAAGGGTTGGGAAGTGGAAATGATTCTCTGCAAAATGTGCATTATCATTTCTGTGAGTGAGACAGATAGAATTAAATAAGCCATAAGCTTCATATGTAAAAAATGTTTACAAGTGATGAGGTAAATATAAGTCTTCTAAACAAAACCATTGATGGGAGGTACTTCTTGTTAAACCTGATACGTACAAATAAAATGCTCTAAGTTCAACATTTCATGAAAAATTCAAACCACCGTATTTTTTGCACTATAAGATGCTCCAGACCATAAGATGCACCTAGCTTTTGGGGAGAAAAACAAGAAAAAAATCTGCCTCTGCCTCCCAGCAATTTGCCTCCTTGCAGCAAATAGCAAACAGCCTGGTCAGTTTCAGTACAACCTGAGCAGCTGACTGGTGGTTGGATCGGCCTCCTGGAATACTGCCAATCAGCTGTTCCAGGCTGCCGGGATCAACGCTGCCCATTGCCCCCATCTATTGCCACCTCCATGCGTCATATTTTCTGCCTCCTTGCACCCCCACTTTCAGCCTCTGTGCACCCCATTTTTGGCCCATTACAGGTGTGGCGGCAGCAATAGACAGCAATAGATGGTGGTGGCAGAGATCCCTGCTGCCTAGAAGGGACTGAAAACGGGATGCGCCACGGCCAAAAATGGGGCATGCAGAGGCAGTGAGTGGCAATGGTGGCAATGGGCGGCAGCGATCCCTGCAGCCTGGAACAGCTGATCCAGGAGGTCGATCCAACCGCCAATCTGCTGCTTGTGCTAAATCAGGCTGGGCTGAAGCTGAGCAGGCTGTTTGCTGTTTGTTGCAAGGAGGCAAATTGCTGGGAGGCAGAGGCCAAAGGGTGGGGCTAGTGGGTGGGTGGGGCTTCGGCAAAATTCGCCCTATAAGATGCACAGGGGGGAAAGTGCATCTTATAGTGTGAAAAATACAGTATATTGAAAGGTTTAACCTTGCAAGTAAAATGTTAACATAATCAGTTAGAATAGCCACTAAATGAAATTCAGGGAGCTTCTTAAAAAGATGTCTAAACCTGTAGCATTGCTTTAAATAAGTCTAAATTGTTTCTTAGCAATGACATTTTCACCACAGTTGTAATATCTTAGTTGTCACTATGACAGATGTTTTCTTTGAGCAAATGACCCTTTTAAGTTAGATAATGTGAACCATAGCATGGTTGCTCTGCTAAAGGTTTAGTTTTCTGAAGAAGAAGTTTCTTAAGAAAGCTTGGGATACTGTTGTTTTCAGCAATTTTTTTTTAAGTTTTAATGACTGGACTTAGTAAGATACAATAGAACAAATGATTTGAACAATTGTCTCAATAGATTTAAATATGTTAATATTTAAAGCAGTTAACGAATGAATGTGATATGACAAAACATTAATTTAATTGGATATTTTGTGTGTGTGTGTGTGTGTGTGTGTGTGTGTATAGCAACTTCATAAACCATGTTCTTTTATTGAAGGTATGGTGTATTTCATCGCATATTAAAGAAGATTGAAGAAAATGAAGAGGGTCTCGACAAATTCACAAAGAGTTACCAAACATTTGGAATCAACAGACTCATAGATGGAGGATTATACTGTAAAGAATGGGCTCCTGGTGCAGAAGCAGTATTTCTTACTGGTGATTTTAGTAAGTATTTTCCAACACATGTGAACTTTTTTTATTGCTATGATGTCTCTAAAATCAGTCCTGATGTCATGGTTTGCTTTCCATTTTGTTAATAAAATCAGAGGATAAAACCTCAATAAAACTTTTATTTAAAATATATGTGATTTGTATTCAGCATAAGACAAGATTATTGAACTGTAGTTACTTAAATAAGTTTGGAAGGTATCAATTATTGATCTTTGCATCTGGAGACCTGTTATCCAAAAAACATGAAATCTACTGGGTGCCCTTATAGTTATCATGTTAAAGTTTGAGTGAGTAGTGACATGGACTGTATACAGTTGTGTGTAAAAGTTGCAGGCACTTCTGAAAAAAACTGAATGTTTAAATGAGTTCCAGAGTGATCAAAAACTGACTCAGCCGCTAAAAACCAAACAATAATATCAGTTTGCAGAGTTGAATGCATTGATTGTTATTTACAGATCGAGAAAAAAGAAAACAGTATGTCAGATGGAAAAAATTAAACTCTTTTTCAGTCAATACTTTTAATATTCCCTTTGGGACAGATAACACTTTTCAAACATTTTCTGTAGCATTCATCTTTTTTTTCATGTAAGTACTTCATGGATGGCTTGAATGGCCTTTACATTTCCCTGCCTTGAATCATTGAAAATTTGTGGAGACTGAAAATATCTCAAATATTTTGTGCATGTAAGGAAGCCAGTGAATATCTCTGAACTGAAAGAGTTCTGCAAGGAAGAACAGGAAAAAAAAATGGAATCCAGAATATAAATACCCTCAACTAGGTATTATTTCTGTTTAATTCTGTATCACTATAGACGTTATGTCATCTGGTCATTAGGAATTCATTGAGACATACTGTTTGGCCAAGATATCTAGACTTCTGTATGCAATTATATGTAATTATAAAAGTGCTTAAACTATGCATATGCCTAGCCATTTTTGCTTTTTTTAAAGAATCATATATATTTCACAGCATATAAGCTATCTATATATGACTGGGAGTTTAAGTTTGGAAAGTATGCAGCAATGTCAAAACTAATAGTATATATATATATATATATACATAATACAGATTTAAATGTACAAGCAAGAATAGTTCTCATACATGCAATGTGTCATACAGCATTGTAAATATAACTACAATGTGGCTTCTAAGAGGACTTAAATGTCTACAATATGTACAATATGGAAAATTAGCAAATTTGCCAAAAGTTTAGGGCCCTGATAGTTTTTTCCCTTTTTATTTATTGGTGGTTTTGCTAAATTGGTTTTTCATATTGTTTTCTTTTTATTAACATTTATGCATCACATACACACAGTTACATACTCATAAGAAAAAGAGACTTCAGTACTAAATAACTATGAAGATTGAAACCTTTTATTGTGCAACAAATAATTTGACATAATCTGTTATAATTTCTTTATTTTTAATGTTATACTTTATGCTATGTGATATATGTGACATATCAGCTGCTGTACGTGGAAGAGTATGGAGAGGTCAAAGCATAAAGTTACTGTTCCTATTGTACCACATATAGTATAGAAACATAGTTTAGTATAGAGCTAGTTTGGTATAATTGTTAAGGCATCAGGCTGGAAACTGGGAAATGGTTCTAGTCCCACATTAGGCACCTTGAACTAGTCAGTCTCTCTCAACCCTAGGAAACCGTCAATGGTCTGAAATCTTGCCAAGAAAGCTGTAGAGACCACAATACTGTAGGCAGTTGCCAGGAGTCCCAAATGACTTGAAAGCATCAAAAGAACAACACGTTGTAATTAATCTGACATAATATATCTTTCTCTTTCTGTATTTCTGATACTTTTAAGTTATCCAAACAATAGAATACCAATAATCTGAATTTATACTTATAACAATATAATGAATGAAACAATATAATGTATTTGGATTTCCAACAAAAAAAAAAGGATATAGATATATCCATTCATTTCATGATTTAATGAGATTGTAGGCTTCTTAAGAAAGAAATTGGGAAAGTATGCCAAAAAGGGCTCTAGCTTTGGAACTACAGTGGGTTTTTTAAAATTAGATTTAAAGGATCATTATTAAGGTTGTCCAACATGAGGGCTGATCAGCAATTTTGTAGACTGTACTCAGTTAGAACTCTCTTCATCTTTTGTCCAAATATAAGAGCCGTTTGCTTAACTTGCTGGAGAGATTGGATGAAGCAAGCCACCTGGTGTATCTGCCGAGTGGAAGTTATTTATGTATATTTTGGAATAACTTCATTTTTCCCTATAACATAATTACATTGATCTTTGATATACTGATTTTTAAGTTCATATTCTTTGTTGTATTGTATAATCTACCTATACTGGTATTTGCTGCAATTTACGTTTGTTCTCATTTAACATCAAACGAAAGTCCATGTACATTTATGCCCTCAATGCTTCTAACACTATTTTTTTGCTCTCCACCCCAGAGATACTCCTAGCATTACCGCCTTCACAATATTGGAACTGGACAATTACACTGTTAAAAGTTTAGTAAATCATGAATATGAGGCAATTAGTAATCTAAAGTCCTAATAAAGAGATGGTATTGATATTGTAGCTATTTGAAAAGCTATGGGTAAATTATTTTTGCACAGATTCTTTCTTATTAACTAAATACAGAATTTAACATCCATCACTTTAATTTTTTGAAAATTATGATTGTAGCAATAGTGGTATAACATGACATTCCTAAGATGTCACAGTTCCTGGAGTGGTTCCTATGATTCTGGAGTCTTAGGATTTAAACATAGGAACCTCATTTTGACACTAATTGAGCTGTCTTTTGTCAAACAGCTAGAAGATTAATCAAGCAACTTATTTATTTATGCATTTATATTTTTGACGTATTAAAGGTGATTAAATCACTTGAGCTCTTTGTCTCAAATCAAAAGCTCTCTGAATTGGGACAGCAATTGTAACTATTTTATGTAGACTTCTTGCGCCTACTTTTTCTTCCCTAATTGCCAGGCTACATGATAGATTTATACATTCAGCCCAACTAGGGTCCAAAAGTTATCTAAAAACTGAAAGATTTTTAATTGAAGCACAAGGTCTTTAGAGGCAGAGTAGAAAATGTGGAAAGGGTATGAAAATTTAATGTAAAACATTCTTTATTTCCCAAATAACTATTTACAGGTTTGTGAGTTGGATTATTTCATTTTTCATAATTTAACTTTTAGCTTAAAATTAAATTTAACTCTTGTTCTGGTTTGGAACTGCACTGCAAATATTAAAATAATTCCTCAAATATGCAGAAAAGTCCCAAAGTAAGAGTTGTATAGAAAAAAAACATTGTCAACTTGTATGTTCCTGTTTTTGCATATGACCTGTGCAATTTAATGAATATTTACCATTTAATTCATTTTTAATTATTATTATAGATAACTGGAATCCATTTTCCCATCCATATAAGAAAATGGATTTTGGGAAATGGGAATTGTTCATCCCACCTGGACCAGATGGGTTTCACCCTATATCTCATGGATCCAAACTGAAGGTACGTATTTCAAAATGATACTTAATTTTAGTATTAATATTTAATTTATTGTCAAATTTCATAATTGAAATTTTGTAGTGTTCAGTTATGTACCACTTAATATTTCAAAGTGCAAATAAGATCTGCAACCCATTTTCTTCACCTCTATGGATTGTTGTTAAAATAATATAAAACAAAATTACAATAAATTACCAATGTTACTATATAATGAACAAAATAGATTATTATAAATATAAACGATCAATTTAGAGCAATCCTGAATGTAAAGGATTCCTCACCCAGCATTCCAAGTGTTGATGTCATTGCCCTTTTGTGATGCTTGGAGGCTGTGTGGGCCTTGATAGGAGACATCAGGCTTTACCTAAATCCTACAAGACCAAATGACTTTGCATAAGTAGAGCTTCAATATCTGGGAATTTAATATATTTAGTTCTGGTTGGGATTGCATTACCTTAGACGGACCTGGTTCACAACTCAGGGGTTCTCCCAGATTCTCAACTCCTGCTTGAAAAGCTGTTGGCAGTCACAGCTAGGAGAGAATTGCACAGTACAGATTGTATGCCAGTTATAGCCTTTCCTGGATCAGGAATTCCTGTGCTCAGTCATTCAAGCCTCATGGAACATTCAGATGCTTCAACTGGTATAGAGCATGGGCAGTCTCTGGGGCCCCTAGAGTAGCCCATGTTACAGAACTGTTACATAAGCTGCACTACCATATTCTAACTCCCAAATTGTTCTCCTTGAATTTTATTTTGGGCTTGGATCCTCTAGGACATGGGTGTCAAACTCGTTGCATCACGTTGCCATCATGTGATGTTTCACGATGTTTTTCTCCTTTGTGGAGCTGAGGTGAGCGTGGCCTGCACATGATGCATCTGACCCAAGGGCCTCCAATTTAACACCCCTGCTCTAGGACTATGTAAGATATGGTAAATGCTGACTACCTTTCTAGTCAGAACTGACGAGCAAAGCAAAGCAAAACAAACAAAATTATTGCTAGCACTGGGTGAAATTTGAGATTGTGGTGATCTAATATACACTAAAATATGTATTTTCACAATTTTGTGAGAACTTCGCCATATTAGTATTTTTTTTTATAAATGAATAGAGATTTGTAGATATTGTTCAGGAAATTTAGAGATAGTGCAATGGTCTGAAGTGCTGCAATGCTGCCCTCTTGCATGTGGAAATAATTTTTGCAAGAAGGAGGCACTGGTGAAAATTAAGCCCAACTCAATCTGAAGTGAGTTTACAATGTCTTTATAGCCCACTTGCCACAGTAATATATAATTTTCCAGTGTTTTTATGTCTCTTTTAACATCTTTTTAAAAAGATATAACTTTTTCTATAAATGCATACTAATTAAGTTGAACTTTGCTGTTACCATCAGTGCAGTTACAATCCTAATAAGAAACAAGACAGAAAATATTGACTTACAAAAAAATATGGTGTCTCTTGAAATGTATTCAGTACTAAGCTCTCTCTCTCTCTCTCTCTCTCTCTCTCTCTCTCTCTCTCTCTCTGTGTGTGTGTGTGTGTGTGTGTGTGTGTGTGTGTGTGTGTGTATGGTATTCAGCTTTGTTCGGGTATTTTCCCACGTCATTATAGTTGTGCTTTTAAAGTTGTAGCAACGTTTCGGCAGAATCTCATCTGCCATCATCAGGCTTCTGTATTGTGTTCGTCTGTGAGTCAGACTTTTACAGTTGTTTCTGTTTTAAATTTGGTGCTAGCCTACTGCTGTGCCAGAATGGTTTTTTCTTCATCCTGATTGGTTGGGAATCTTGGTCTGTGTTTATTGGTCTTGGAGTTTGCTGTGTTCTGCTTGATTGGTGTTTCTAATATCTTCTGTCTGTTTTGTAGTTTTTGTTTTTTTTTTGGTCTTGATTGGCTGGCAACATTGTGTTCCAATCAAGACAAAAAAAAAGCTGTGTGAAAAACTAACTATCTTATAATTCAATAGCTTGTAGAACCATCTTTAGCAGCAATAACTTGAAATTATTGTTTTTTGTATGACTTTATCAGTCTGTCACATCATAGTGGAGGAATTTTGGCCCATTCTTCTTTACAACATTGCTTCATTTTATTGAGATTCCTGGGCATTTGTTTATGCACAGCTCTCTTGAGGTGTGATACATAAAACTATGGAACTCAAAGAGGATGTACTTTTTTCACATGACTATATGTATGTACTCTGTGTGTGTGTGTGTGTGTGTGTGTGTGTGTGTTGTGATAACTTTCTCAAAAAGTTTTGGAAAGTCCAAGTATTTGATATTTACTAGCATCGTCTAGGAACTCTTAAAAGGATGATGAGACAGGATTTATCTTTGTAGAAGCTAGGTGGACTGTTATTGAGCCAAGCCTTTATTTTTTCATATTTTGATATTTTTCTTTTTATTAATTATTTCCATCAACTAACCTGAAGAAAAAGTAAACTGTACAGCTTACAATAATTTAAGTATCATTATGAATACATTTAAAATTGTGTTTTATATTTCTCACTTTAAAATCTGTGGTTTTGATGCTCTTTGTTTTATACATTTTACGTACAAATTGAGATGTTTGTTTAATTTGTTATAACGCCTCTCTTGGATGTAAGATTAGTATTCACATTGATTAGTTTTTGATGCCAGATGAAAACTTTTTAATAGGTGTAAATATCACAATAGCATTTCTGCTTTTTGTTTGTTTATACATTAGCTCATTGATTTTGTTGATTTATTAGATTTTGTAGTGCTGATTGCTGTGAGTTATTTAGTGTATGAGCCAGGGTGGTGCAGTGTTTAGAATGCAGTATTGCAGGCTACTTCTCTTGACTGCTGGCTGCCTGCAATTCGGCAGTTCAATTTTCACTGGCTGAAGGTTGACTCAGCTTTTCATCCTTCTGGGATCAGTAAAATGAGGGCCCAGATAGTTGCGAGCAATATACTGACTCAGTAAATCACTTAGAACTGTAAAGCACTGTGAAATGGTATATAAGTCTTAAGTGCCATTTCTATTGCTATTCTCTATTCTTCTTGGATGAAGAACAGGTTAAGACTACCTTATTTAAGATCTATTACATTCATTTATTCTAGTTTTACAGATATACATTTAATCTTTCAATCATCATAAATTATATAAATCAAATCAAATAAATAATGTAAATAATGTTGCTAATCATGCCTTCAATTGCATGCTTTTTTCCAAATTTCTAATTAAATTTCCAGCTTTAATCATATACACACAAAATGCCTCTTAACAATAGGAACAAATTATTGTTAAGGTCAAATTATTTATCCATCCATCCATCTGTCAACATCCTTCAGTATCCAAATAAAAGCCCAGGACCATTTCTTTTCTGAAATTCTTACTGTTTATTGAATACATGCATAGTGCTATCAAGGTAAAACTAACTCTTGGAGCTTCAGGCCTCAGTCCATAGTATTAAACATGGATTTCCCAGCCAAACCCTCAGGTTTTCACATAGACCAAGTAAACAAGTTAATGTTTGTTATGGAAACCATCTGCCTCAACTGCACACCTGTATTTTGCACACCTTGAAAAACTAGACTTATATTGTTTTGATTTCAAACAAAGCAAGTGGGACAAAAAGAAATGCACATATATGCATATGCATATATTTACAGAGATCTAAAAATCTGAGCATGAAGATCTAGCCAAAACCATACAAGAGAGAAAACACAACTTAAATTCCCTCCTTCCTTCCTTCCTTCCTTCCTTCCTTCCTTCCTTCCTTCCTTCCTTCCTTCCTTCCTTCCTTCC